TATTGGTAACAATATTTTTGATTTGATCCGAAAATGCATCAAAACAAGCATAAATATAATCCTGAGTATTCAACCAAATTACTTTTATATTTTTCAGTGCGGTTTAATAGATAAATATTGAAAATACATTCAGGATGTGACAAAACCCTACCTATGCTGACAGATTTCGACCGTTTCATAGTCACGAATTCACTTAGGGTACTGTTCCGATGATAAATTAGTTTAAACCACAACTAATCATAATAGTCTCTTATGTGAACTCCAGTTATCGATGCACGGTGCAAACCACTCTTTGCATCTTGTCAGTCCTAGCTGAGCTCGTATTTTAGGTTTAACTTGATGGTAGTAAGAAAATGACGAAGACTGGTCTTTTAGAAGTTTGAGAGTGGTAGTAGTAATAATTTGAATCAGTAAGCAAGTATCAACTAAACCACCTGATCCCCACTCAGCATCCAATGTAAGAAGAAATGTAGATTAATTTTAATGCAAGTGTGTATGAATATTGTATTATCAGCTAAGATTATCAACCCTAATTTCAAAGTAAACATAGTGAAAAACCTTATTCTCCAACTGCAGGTAGTTTATCAGTCTGCACGTGTTGTTGGATATCCTCACGACTTTTATTCTCAAACATTTTGTCTGTGTGAGTGGTTTTCAAAAAATGGAGGCTATCTGATGATACGGTAAACCTGGGTGTTGTGATTCTGCGTAGTCGTCTGGTTAGAATTTACCACCAGTAATGTGAGTACAGGTCACAAATGATCTCAATAACTCACTGATCAACGTTTTGGTCTGTGTAATGCGGAATATGTTTTATTTTATGAACGGAATTGAATTTTTTCAAAATTTCAATTATTGTGTTCTGTTGAGGGCTGAAAGGCTTGAAATTTAGGCCCAAGACTTATTATTTCCTGACAACTAACATTTGAAATCTTCAGACGTGTTGTTCTCCACGGGCCTGGTCTTAGACCTGTTTTATGTCAGTATGATTTCGTTTTTTCATTGTGCAATAGCCATGAATGGAATAACCGTTTTTATCATGAAATCGATGGTGACTATTTTATTCACCAACTTTCTGAAAATTCGTAATCTTTTAAATGAAATTAAATAACTCGTATTACGTGATTTGCAATCAATAAAAATAAGACATACATGACTGTCGTTTCCACGAATCTAATAATTCCTTCTATGAAATTTTTATGCAAGTGAAGCAGAATAAGTCCTGCAATAAAGGAGCAAGTTGTTTTTGAAGGTTATTTATGGATTTAATTCGTATGCTGGTTTTTTGTTCATTCAAAGGCAAGAACAGAATTAATATAGGTGCAAAACTTGGGCACTGTGGTAGAATTCAATTCCATATTAGATTTGTTTATTTGGTTTATAACGCACAGTGATCTAGTATTATTTACTTGATGACGTTTCGAGCTTAGATTATTGCTCATAATCATTTCAATATAATCACACTACTTCCGACATTTGATTTTTATAGTTACGTCACTTTATATGAGTTGTTTTTATTGGTAGCAAAAGTTTCCATATCTCTGGCATAGGTGTTGCGCCATTCCTATTACATGTGCTTTGTGTTGATTCGACGAACAAAGATTCAGTAATCAATCTCTCTCTCGACCTAATTATATTGGACTTAAGTACAGTGGCTTTATCGCACCCTATTGTATGGTTGTGCGTTAATGCATGCACAGCAGTAGCCGAGTTTTTTCTAGATTATTGATCTTATTTAGGTCTGTTATTCTATATTTAGATAAATTCCTATGTTCTGCTATTCCAACTGACCCCGACTGACTAGTTTGACCTATGTACTTGACCACACAGTCATTACATGGAATTTGATAGATTATATTATTTCGCTTAATTGGTTCTATCGGATCCTTAAGCCGACAAAGTTTATCTCTCAGTGAGTTTGTAGGTTTAAATGCCACCCTAATTCCAGCTCTGTTGAGGATTCTACGTAAAGTTTCTGAGGTACCCTCCTTATAGGGTAATACAATGGAGGCTGTGAACTTTTTACTCTTGTTGTCGTTATTAGTCGCACTCGTGTGATTGTTATTTTTTTGTTTTTGTCTGTCCGTAAGGTGAGGATGTGAATTGTTGGGAAATGTTTACTTATATGTAAATGGGAATAGATGAATGTGAAAAAAGCAATGTGGACAAAACGTCGCTTTATTTTATTCGTAGCATTAGTGTGAACTTGATTTTTTGAGTTTACTAAACAAGTTGGTTTAATATTTTAAACCTGCCCTTTTATTAAATGCATAAGGATTCCTCATAATATGAAGTAATTTAGCTATCTATCTTCCCTAATAATTTCAAAATCCTGTATAAATGATTTCAGTGTCCTACCGTCAAATTTCTGGTTGTGATAGATAACATGAACGGCAACTGCAAGGTTTTACTGGCAACATTTCTTATTCTACAGCATTGTTTGAAGGCTTTCTCGTGATTTTTGCGTGCTTTTTTGACAACTTTCTTTCATATGATAGACATCTAAATCGACAAAGTGCAATCTGCAGATGGAGTTTTGTATGAAAGTGAACGAAATTCTATCTTTTATGTGTATTAAATCATTTTTAATAGTTTTGGAGAAGAAAGCCTTAATAATTTGTTTTCTTTGGATTTATATGTTCCACTGTTTCAGCTTTTGAGTGACAGTTATGGAATAGGTACCGAGATGAGAAACGCCTTTTATACTTTTGTCTTCCGTTTGTCTGTCGCCTTCACTTGTCATAACTTTTGTGAATTGATGCAATTAGTTCAGAGCAAGTGAAAGTCTAGCACTGGTTGAGTGTTGTGAGTGTCTAAGATGGATCGAAAAGCCAAGGTTTCTACTCACATCCCTTTAAACTAAATACTCCGAAAGTGGTACTTCGCCAATTTCATTTTCATTTTAAAATATACATTTGATATAGAAACAGTGTATATCGTATAAGTTTGAAATGTCCTCAAATATGATCTCCCTATAGACACAAATGAATCGTCCACATATTGAACCATATACATGGTTTGATGAAGTTGGTGGAAATCCCCGAATTGTTATACGACATCAAAGAATTCAAAATGATAGAGAACACAGGATTAGTCATTCCATCTCTTTTTGTTTGTCTATATAATCTAACTCTGTATGCAGAACATATTCAAACCAAACTAAGTTTGGATGCTAGTATGATGAGGTTGGGGGGTCAAAGCAGATCTGTTTGAAAGCTCCTGACCTCCCTTCAGTAAGTTACCCGTGAAATCTGTACACTTTTCGATGCGAAGTTTCGTAGCTCCCACACCAAAATTTAAAGTTATTCCAATCTTTTCACTAGATAAGTTAGATATTTTTGAATTAAAATTGTAAGCATCCAAGCTGGAAAGTAAAAAGCTGCAGAGGTTTTGGTGTTTTTTCAAAAGCGAGTGAGTTGTTCCACTTGTGGAGTTTAATATAGATCTGAACGAAACATCAGACTTGCGGAATTTCAGTAATTCATGGGGTCGTGATTCACGTGATTTAAGATACAATGTTAACTATAAATATTCTCAAGTAAAAACTATAACGGTTGACTCGTATTTGTTTGATATTTTTCCTAATCAGTTTCTTCATATTTACCAGTTGTCAGATGTAGACAACCGTAACTTAATCCCATCTTGTTATTTTGATGCGTATTTACGAGTAGTTAAATTATTGTTCGCCGTATCGAGGAAAAGTCTATGCCGTATGTTCTATTCGTAGCATTTAATGCTGTTAAAGTATGTAGAGCTTCAGAGGCAATTCTTTAAATTATGCTAATGGAAACTCTTTAGTATTATGGCCACATAATCAAAGTCAGTCACTGAGTTTTGTAGGCAGATTTGTTCTGTATCACCTTAGCATTTGAACTCTTTTCCTTCAACAAGACCTTTCCTAATTAATTCGAAGGTTTAGAACACTGTCTTGTCATGACTGATGAGCACTGTTTTAATCTGTTCCGAAGTAACTTCCTGATATGCTAACGTCATAGATGACACCTATTATTTTACTGGGACTTTATTATTATTATTATTGCTACTTTGTATGTTTACAAATTTAATGTTTGAAATGTGAGGCTAATTATATGTGGGATAATTCTAGAACCTTAAAAATGAGGGTAATGAACTTTAGTTATAGACTAAATATCCACCAAAGAGTCAAAGAATTATGTAGACAAACTACGAAGGAGTTTTTATTCACATACCTTAAAGATTAACCTCCGAAGCTCTACATATTTTAATGGCATTAAATGCTATGAATAGAAGATACTACATAGACTTTTCACCTATCTGTCGTCTATCATTTTGACCATCTGAGATAGTTGCGTTTGGCGGATTATTGGTGATACCGGTTTTCCTGCTCAGTGGTTGCTAGTTCGAATCCCGTCGCAGCTCAAATTTTCATTTCACCTTCAATCACCATCTAGTATCAAAACATTAATCCAAAAAACCATTAACGATGACCTTTATAAGTGAAGCTTTAATAAAAATGACAATTACTGATTGTCTATAAATAAATTAGTATTATCAAATAAATACAGGAAATAATAAGGATTCTACAACGCATATAAACACATTCCCAGTCTTTGACTGCTCTACATTTTTTTGTTGGTAAATGTAAATAAGAAATGTCAGCTTTTAATAACTAATCGTAATTACTCAGTCTGAACAACAAACCACCTAACCAAAAGACCTGTATACACTAAATATTGGATGTACTATCTGACTACATATTATGATAATAAAAAGTTAGAATATTCTGTTGTAAAAGCTGTGGCTTACTCAGTGAAACGTTCAGAAAAATCCTTCTTTGCTGTTCCAAACACGCTAAAAATATACATCTTATATTTGCATAAGCTATACAAAAATTTGTTATCTAATAAAACTAAGCATCCAACTCCTTCTAGGACATCCGTAACACCTGTGTTTTGGTTGTTTAATATCTTACCATATGGTATAGTTTATAGTAAATTCTCCTGTTACCGTTTTCATTCTAGGGCTATACAAAGGCTGTTGACTGGTGGGCAGCTGGTGTATTAATTTATGAAATGGTTGCAGGCCATCCGCCGTTTTTTGCAGACGAACCGATTGAAATTTATGAGCGAATAGTAATTGGAAAAGTAAGTATTGCTTACATTTCTACAAAATATTTGTTTACCATGTTTACCTCTTCAAAAAAAGAAAATTTATTATTTAACATAAAATTATTTCTTTTTTACCAGAAACCATAGCTTTGAGAAACAATTTTGTTGGATGGTTAGAATTGTTACTCTTTATAATACGGAGTTAGTTTGTTATTTAAGTAATAAATTCTGCAACATTTTTGATTCTGATCTCTCGCACTTACAAGCTGTTATTTAATTGGTATTTGATGTAATTCATGTTGACGCTATGACGAGTATTGTATTCTATACTTAAAATGATTTTTGTGGTGCTGTAGCTTTGCAAACTGAATAGTTAATTGGTAAATCGCTTATCATCTGTCTAAATATCATCAACACTAGCTTAAATATGCAAAGAGCTAGCAGGACTTCTCCATGATTATTTAGTACTCTATTTCGCTTAAAAGGCTTGTGATTGGTAGTTCAGTTTAACTGAGAACAAAACAGCAATAACGTCAACTATGAACATGATTCATCACCATGGAAAAGGGTGGGTTTCAAAAATCTCTCGGTCTAGTAATATAGAAAGAACATTTGAAAGTAAGAACTAATATATGTACTTGTAAATCTATCAAACAAATAGATATTAATACTCAATACCATATTCACATGTTGCAGGCGTCAGCTGTACGTCATCCCAGCTACAACCAAGAGCATACTGAGTTTTGGAGTGGATATCATGATGTCTCCAAGAACATCGAAGGCTCTCATGCAGTGGGAACCGGTCTCCTCCAGGATCACAACAGCAAGGTTCAACTCGAAAGGAAGGAAAGTCACAATCGTACAATGCTACGCTACGCACCTACAAATAATGCAGACGAAGAGAAGAAGGAGTACTTCTACAGACAACTGCAATCAGTAATGGACAAGATCCCACTCCAGTTGGCGACATCAAAATTCTAACGGGTGGTGTGACATGAATGCCAAACTGGGAGCGGACAACACAGAAAGAGAACTAACCATGGGTCGAGAAGCACTCGGTAAAATGAACGAGAATGGAGAATTGTTTGCAGAATTCCGTGCATTCAACGATTTGGTGGTTGGAGACACTGTGTTCAAGCACAAGGATATTCACAAAGTGACATGGATTTCACCAGACACCAGGACACACTAAAAGTCAGATCAACTTCATCTCAATGTGAAGAAAGAGGAGATGCAGCCTACTTGACACGAGATCAAGAAGGGGAGCAGATGTAGCTTCACACCACTCACCATCTAGTGCAACGAACCTTCCAAATCAAGTTGAAAGACTTCAAAGAAGTTGGTGATAGACCACAGTTCAAGTTCAACACCCAGAACGGAAAATAAACTGAAGGACGAAACTACAAGGGACATCTTCACGGCAGCCATCAAGACAAAATGGGAGATGTCGAGCAACATCCCTGAAAAAACCTGTGTAAAAGAACACTGGAACTCTTTGAAAGCTATGTGGAAAGAGACCCGCATAACCGTATTAGGAAGGAGGAAGAAAGAAGACGAGGAATGGATCTCGACGGACACATGGAAGCTGATGGAGGATAGGAAGCTAGTGAAGCAGAAGATGAACCAGTGCAAGAATGCACAACGAGAAGAGGAACTGAATACAATGTATAAAACACTGGACAAAGAAGTGAAGAAGAGTGTGCACAAAGACAAAAGACACTGCCACGACACACTGGCAAGTGAAGCAGAACAGGCTGCAGGTAGGAGAGACAGAGACCTGATAACATTGTATCAAATAACCAGGTTACTATGTGGGAGGGAAGAGATCAACACAGATGAAACCAACAAAAGAGGATGAAGGAAAGCTAGTTACCGAAGAGGAGAAACAAAGGAAACGATGGGCTGACCACTTCAAAAAGAACTTGAATCGACCACCACCACCACCACCACCACCAGTAACTCTCCCAGAAATACCACCAGCAACGGCAGAACTACTAGTGAACACAGGCTCTCCGACAAAAGCAGAATTCCTGAGTGCCATAAAGCTATTGAAATCCGGGAAAGCAGCAGGACCAGATGGAGAACCACCAGAAGCACAGGAAACAGACACAGAGACAATAGCGGACATGCTCACACCATTATTGCAGAAGGTGTGGAAGGAAGGGAAGGTACCTGCTGGTTGACTGGAAGAAGGGCTACCTTGTAAATCTCTCGAAGAAGGGCGACCTAAGTCTTTGCAAGAACTGGCGAGGAATCACGCTCCTGTCCACTCCAAGCAAAATATTAAGCCGCATCATCCTGCAGAGACTAAAGGTGCGCTGCATTCAAAACTACGACCGGAACAGGCTGGTTGGCTGGCTTCAGAAAGAACAAATCATGTGCGGATCAAATTGCAACGCTACGCTACGCATCATCATAGAACAGAGCATAGAATGGCAGTCAACCCTCTACCTCAACTTCATCGACTTTGAAAAGGCCTTCGACAGCGTCGACCGAGAAGTAATTTGGCAGACAACTGCTTCAACAGTACGCAGTGCCACAAACCTTTATCAATGTCATTCAACAAGTATATGAAGACGTCACATGCCAAGTGATTCACAATGGGAAGCTCAGTGGTGCTTTTGAAGTGAAGTGAAGACAGGAGTAAGACAAGGCTGCCACCTACAACCACCGATTATCTTCCTGATTGTGATCGATTGGACTGGATCATGCAACAAACAGGGGAGAGCGAGAAGAGGGGGATACGCTGGCTGGACCGATGAAAAGAGCCTAGAAGATCTGGATTTCGTCGATGACTTGGGTCCAATGTCACACAAACTCGAAGATCTACAGGCGAAAACCAACAGGTTGACAGAAGAGGCAGGGCAACGAGGAGGGGACTTCAAGTGAACGTAGAGAAGACAGAGTTGATGATGATAACCTACCAACACCACCACCACCACCACCACCACACAACAACAACAACAACAACAAGCTCCAATCACCATCAACGGGAGAAACTTAAATGAAGTGGTCTCTTTCACCTACCTGCCTAGGCAGCACCGTTTCAACTACAGGCCGCACAGACGAGGACGTCAAAGTCAGGATCGGAAAAGCCAGACAGGCGTCCATCGACCTGAAACCAGTGTGGAGATCTTCTGCACTCAGCATGTGGAACAAGATCCGGATTCTCAACACCAACGTCAGTCAAGTCAGTACCTCTGTATGGCTCAGAGACTTGTCGCGTCACGAAAGACATTTCCAACAAACTACAGACATTCATCAACCACTGCCTATGCTCGGTACTGAAGCCCAGATCAGATGGCCAGAAAGAATAAGCAACAAGGACCTCTGGCCTCTGGCTGGCAACGAACCAACCAAGAACCCATCACCCAACAAATATGCAGAAGGAAGTGGAGATGGATTGGATTGAGCATACACTGAGAAGGCCGATTTGGGACATCACGCGCCAGGTCAGGCCCTCGAGTGGAGTCCAAAGGGGAAATGACGAGTTGGGTGTCCGAGGTGAGGGTGACATGGAGGAGATCGTGCGAGGAGGAGATGAGAGATTGTGGGCAGTCGTGATGCCAGGTTGAGAAGACTGCATAGAAGAGAGTGAAATGGAGACGTACTACTGAAGCCCTATGTTCCATTAGGTCTTCGAGGGAAGAATGATAAATCATGATAGTGATGATAGGCATTTAAACCATGTTCAGTCGTACACCGAGTCCACTTTTTTGATGAACTTTTTGTCTTCCCTATTTGCAGCTGGCTACAACTCCATTGTCTTTTTCGCAGCTTTTGAAACAAGCCGTGAATGCACATGTACGTATGGCGATGTATAATCTTTTTCTATACAGTTACTCTGAAAACAGCAGCAATCCAGCACCAAAACTTTTGAACAGTGGCTTTTATTTATGTCATTCATGTATGTATATACACCAGTGACTTGTTGTCGGTGGATGCAGGGTTAAAAGACATCTCTCTTTGAATTTAAATTTAATGCTGTTGGTGCAATTTCGCTGAAAAAACACATTCACCGCGTAATGTTAAATAAATCTTTAAAAGTAAATATTTTATCCTTGTCTCACAAATGCAGCAAAACTCCCTGACCCGAGATTCAATATATTTGGCAAGTAAGTGGTCTACTTGATTCCGCACAAGGTTTAAACGTTTAAAGCCTTAAGATCAAATTGACAGAATAATTCTATAGAATGATGAACACTGTTTTGTTTATTCAGATCGTTAGCGACAGTCACACGATAAGATGATGAGCTTTAATAATAGTGACGGGTGCATGAACTGCTGAAAAGACAGGGAATATGAGTTATGGTTGGATGAGTTCGCTACAATGTGAGGAGTGTGAACGCGGTAATTATTTCTGTGCCATCGAAAATGCAAGAGTTAACGAGTTGGTGCGGTAAAAGAAATAAAAAGGAGATTATCTTTGTCTTACTGCAGGTTCCAAAAAAGATCTGCTTTCAGACTATCATTTATAGTGTTTTGGAGAGTTCTGGATTCGGTTGCATTTCGTAACATGTATATGTTGCTGAAATATTAAGGGTGACAGGAAAATGATAATAACTTTTCTTATTACTACGGAAATATTCATTCACTAGGCCATGGATTATTCGTTTCGCCTATCTTTATGTCCAACGTTCATTATGTTAACCTCTACTTGTGCCAGACACATTCACTGAATTTATCGAAAATGAAAACAGAAAATTCCTCAGAACTCGATAATTTAATCGTACTTTACTGCATTCTTTTAAAATGCATACACATTGAAAAAATTACAGGATGTATACAGAGAAATGAAATCCACAAACCTTAGTGTTTTCTAAAAAATAATACTTTTTCACTATGTGCTTTATCAGATAGTCTGTCCCAGTATATAATTACATTCTACCTCAGCACCCACCTCCTAAGCTTTCAGTGTCTAGAAAGTGTTTTATCCTGTTGACAAGAGATCGTCTTTAATTATTCAGTCACCTACAGTAACCCTAGTATAAACGTTTTTATTCATCTACACTGAAATTTAGCTTACTATACTTTAGGCTTCAGCTTAGCATCGTCTTCTCTGAATTTGAGTGTCATCCAGTAGCTACAAACCTTGAAAGGTTATTGACAAAAGGTATTTTTATGTCAGCAAGAAAATGCTTACGGAAACAATATTATGTTTAATTGTTTATTTTTGCATCGTTTTCACACTAAAACCTATATGGATAATCTCTAAAAAATAATCAAGGGCTTTTCATGACAAGATTTGCACAGTTACTGAATAGTCTCTATGAAGATGAAATATCATGTTTCTGAAACCTGTCATTAATTTAGGTTCATTTTTTTCTTGAATTTTCGCATATATTCCTTTTTAGTACCATTTCAAAGCAGCAAATAGTGAAGGTTTCTTAGCTCTAGAAAGTATTTATTTTATAGTCTTTGGAATCTAGGATATATTTGGATGCCATAACTGAAGTTATAAGGTTTTTGACTCTACAAACTGATTGCCTCACGGTTATGCTCAATGTAAAACCACGTTCATTCCTCTTTCATTTCAGTATAAATTCCCTTCACACTTCAGTTCAGATCTCAAAGACCTTTTGCGTAATCTAATTCAGTCTGATTTAACTAGACGTTTCGGCAATCTCAGAAATGGTGTACAGGATATCAAATCACATAAATGGTTTTCTCATTTGGATTGGTTGATGATATTTAAAAAGGAGGTAAGCATGCTTATATCTATAAATGAATATCAGTGTATATTTTCTCATTCCGTTTGCTAAACATTTTCCTATGATCCTGACAAATATCAACTTGTATTTTGGTGCGAACCTAAATTTTTTATTATGAATTTTATTCCCTCAGTAGTCTCCTGAACCAAAAAACACAGCCTATATACATAATTTTGTGTGCCTCTCTTATCACATTGATCGAAATTATGAGAAGTGAATTGTCGCCACAAACTAAAACAAGCAACATAGTTATTTAAATGAAGTAATGATGGTCAGTGGCCAGCAGTGGAATCCAGGATAAGCATTTTGTCCATAATACAAGCAATAGCACTAAATATATGATTATTTAAGGTTAACATAACACGTAGATGCGTGAAAACTCATTTACTGTTGGTTACTGCGGCAAAATATCATAATCTACTGATGAGTCTTGTTTAGGACACAGCTGACGAACTCCGTCACCAGTCTGGAACTCAATTAATTCCCTCAGGTTTTCTATTGCATAGCATCATTAGTTTTGAATAATATTGGCAGTTATTGTAATAGAGTCATTGCAGCAGGTAAATTTCCCCAGACTTTTTCCTTAACATGAAAATGGCTGGTTATCTACATGGAATTTCATCAAAGTTATGTTAATATCTCAGTGCATTTAGATTTTGCCCTGGTGTATTAGTAACATTCTCATCCTTTGAGTTGATCAGAACTTAGTGATTACATTAGATTGTCAACATTTACACATTAGGAACCTACTTTAATTAAATTTGGAGTTGAAGTTTTGACACCCTCTAGTCGAACGTACTGCTAGCGCTGTGATTTACTTTCTACTGTGGCAAAACATGAACAGAGCAATCACAAGTGGGCATCACAATGGTCTTTGTAAACCATATGCGAATGCCATATCACCATATTATTTGCTGTTTCAGGAGGTTGAATACATGTAGTGGGACACAACATTTTTGGATAAGTCAGTCAGTGGACCGAATATAAATAGCCCATAAATGTTTGCTTCATCTGTGAGAAAATACACAGCACTGAACTTCATAAAGCAGTAAGTGTTGGTAAAAAGTAATTATAAGTTTATGAGACAAATCTTGGACAGTTTTCATGCCACTTACTTCAGTCACTTTCATCAATGTATGTTCCCGATGCTATCTTAAGACATTCGTAGTATCAATAATGTGATAGTGTATTAGACAACATGAAGTTTGAAGAATCCACCATTTTAATTGTTTGCATAGTTAAGGGTGATAAAAGTATCATGGCTTAATGTACTACTCCCTTTTTGTCAGCAATCTCATGTTTCAAAACTGAGCGCCTTTGATTATATCTGCTGATGTACTCAGGTTTTGTGCTGCATATTTTGAAATCAAACCAACTTTTAAGTTTTTCTTTCGTGTTATTACTAACAAAGAAAATTTTGCTGAATTTACTTTAGCTGCAATGCATTTACGCTGTATTTTTATGCTGAATTAAACCACAATTTAGAATCCGCGGGCTATAATAAACAAGTCGAAGCTACTATACCAAACTTAGTTTTCGCATAATTATATTCCTTTGTATTTTAAGAGTGAATGCAATCAAACAGCGTCTCATAGTTTCATGAAAACCAATTCTTACAAGGTGTTTTATTTAGTGATAACTTCATGGTGGTGTTCTTTGTTTCTTAATTAGCAAATGTGTTCATCTTCCCGAGTAACGACTGTTTTATTTTCCTATTAATTACTGATTTCCTTGCTTTTCCTTATTGCAGACAGTCATAACTTGAAATGACATTTTGTGCTAAGTTTTACGGCACTGTTCATTTGCATCTTTCTTTATAGGCTAGATATGACCGATCTACTTTAATTTGTTTCATATATAGTGTAACGGTATACGTCACTGTACATTTATGCAGTTGAGCAATCATCATAAGTAATAATAATTCAAGATGTGTTAAGTATTATAGAATATGGGTAATGTAATATATTTCCTTGTGGTAACTGTAAAAGGCAGAACCAACAAGCAAAGCTATGACTTTTCCCTCTAAGGTATGATAAGTCAATTTTCTTATTGCTAACATTATACTTGTGGCTTGTAATAGCTTAAGTGCAACTTTGAGTAAGTTTATTCTCGAGGAAATACATTGGCACATGGATGTTTCGTATTCACGTGTTAACTATTATCCAAAACCGATAACATTCTAAGTTAAAAGTGAATATTGCTAAAAGGAAGCTGACAAGTTTGCACCATCTTATGGTCTAAATCTTTCAATCAATGTACCAAAGGAAATCTATGACACTTTCAGCTTCAAACTGCTGATAAATTCACACTTTATTACGAAAACATGTTCGGAAACCTGACTACAACGTATCACGAAGTTTATTCATACAGGCTTTAAATAATTTAAAACATGAAAAGGTCATTGCAATATGCTCTAAGTTACAGAAAAAATGAATGTAGAATATTATGACTGAGTTTATCGGTTAAATATTTAAGCACACAAGAACATTTTAACGCTTGTTATTCATTCACCTCGACACATGATAATATAGGTTATTTGGTGTAGTGATGCTTATTTTTCCATTGACAGTGTGTTGATATCAGGACGATGGTAAAACTCCTTGAAACATAACAGTCAGGCATGGATCTATTTACACTTAAAAGCTTGTTTCCATGTACTTAAGCTTATTGTTTTTCATCCTTCGAGTGAAAAAAGCATTTTCAACTCACTTGTCTTAATCCAATAATAGTTAGTCGAAATAAAATCTCATCGGGTGTAAATGAGTATTTTTCTGAATCTGCACTAGTTGTTTCCATAAATAAATAAAGATACAACCAGTGTATTATTCAGGCAACCAAAGATGAGAATAACAGTTAGTAAACAATAACTTAGATATTTACACAAATATATGGTAACCACGTATAAGCAAACTGACTGCAAGTAAAATGTCATTAGAATATTATATATATATATATATATATATATATATATATATATATATATATATATATATATATATATATATATATTTCAGATGGTAAGCAGGCGTAATTGCATTATCGAAAACACTAGTGAGGTGATTGCGATGAATTTCAGTATGAATTATTGAATTAATATATTTAACTGAACGATGCGAAATTTTTATATGGAGTGCAATCATCTTCCTAACTGATGTAGTATTGATGTTCATTTTGTCACCAAATCAAATCTTTTCACTGTTAGTTTTCTTGAATACGTCACTACATGAATAAACTGTTAAATCCCCATTTTTTATTTCCTTTTATTTAATTGTTAGCTGATATAAATCAAAAATTCTAATTATTATCGCTGATTAAGCGCCCGTTTCTAAGGCAGAGATGTTACCGAAAAGTCTACAGCGCAGAATACTATACAACTAACCAGCTACCTGCGCTGTTTTCCCAAAATTATCGTCCTACCTGATGGCTTTACAACACAATGTATAACACATGTGTGACCGTCTGGTTTTGGTAACATTTCGTAAAAATCAATCTTAGTTGACAAACGGTTGACAGTAATATGCTGATCATCATTTTGTGCTTTGATAATTTACTTACTGATTAGAAGTATTCCAAAGATTGCACAGGTTAATCACTACTTTTATTGAGAAAATATTGTCGATATTCAATTTCCCAGAGGGTATAACTTACTACAAATCTATAAGTATATATTTCTGATAAAACTGAAGTCAACTTTTTATTCCGAGACTCTCGGTACACACACTACTCAATAATCAAAATATGGCTATCAGAACTAGAGACCTAGACATGTATTTCGCGAAAATGCATCTGCTATTGAAAATTAAACCTGAATCAGATATTTTGTTCATAAATTCATCTTGGTCCACTTATAATGTTAAACCAGGTGAATATCAGGTGAGGAAGATAATTAATCAGCACATAGTCTTAGGTAATAACGTTATATCAACATTCTAATGAACACCGAAAACAACTTCCTTTCGGAAGAAACTACGGCCTTCATCAATGAAATATAATAGAGATGTTAATAAAATTAGAGGTATCCCTAAAAACAAAAAGAAACTATAACATGACTAGAGTATGTTTCTGGAAAAGTTTTTCATCCCCGTGTCAAACAGAATTTACGGCTTGAGACAATAATACACTTTGTTTGAAGTGTTAATTACTTTTTCAGGAACTCAAATACCTCTCCTCTTTTCAAACATTTTAAAGGCATTTAAAAATTACCATGATTATGGTTATTCTGAAAAGGAAACGTTACTTAATCTCGTTATACCCTTTGCATTTCTAGTTTATTATCAACTAAATTCATAGTACAGCTAACTTTCATAAGAGCTGTTATCAGCTTTTAATTATCTTACAGCACGTGCATAACCTTTATTTAAGCTGTTTATAAATCTTTGAAAAAACAGGAAGCAAATATGAAATCATATGATGCTTGTACTGTATACAGTATTACATTCGAAGTATCCGCAAACATTGTTAAAAATCGTAGGTAATTAGTGGAATAGGAATAAAAAGTGATTTATGCATGCGTAAAAATATGTAAATACTAAGATCTTGAAGTATTTAGATGTTTCGCACTTTTTTGCATCTACTTATGAAGATGAAACAAAGAAATTCAGTTTAATCCATTCTTCAGTCAACTTGTTAAACGTAATTATTAAACTTGGCAAAGTGGCTCAGATTTCAAGTGACCTACTATTTGAAAAGAAATATTTATCATTTATGAATAAATCATGCATACAGTAAATGTCCTCCATAACTTGTTTTAACCTTCTTATTGGGCATGACGAATCTCAAGCGATAAACTTCTGAATACCGCTATACGATAGGTAGGTGTCTTTCAGTGCGAAAAATATTGTTTTGTCTTAAGATTTAAATTCAGACACTTGTTACAGTTACATTTTATACCTTCATTCTGTTTTCAAATCTAATTATAAATTAGTTTCGACAATTACTGCTAAATTTAACTTGTAACTCAAAGTGATGAACATCGAATGAGAATTCTAACT